CGAGATCTTGAGAGTCTTGACTTTTACTTTTCGCTTTCTCTCCTCCCTTCTTTTTTCGCTTTTCTTGCCTCATTTTTTTTTTCTCTTGCTGGGCATTTAGTAGGCTTCATTATGGTGGGAATAGTTTTTAGGAAAGCTCTTAGGATCTTAGGATTAGGTGAAAGGAAAGGTAGGTGGGCAATGGAACACGATTTTCATGGAGATTTTCAGGTCCATGTGATGTGGTTTTTTGCTTCTTTCTCCGGTGTCCTTGACTGAATTTTGCTCATTCTGTTATGGTTTGAAAGATCTCTTCACTCTGCACAAGTGAGCGAAGAAAGTTGTCCTTGACCGTTAGAACTGATGACGTCACAAAGGGTAGAAAGGACCTGGATCCGCACGGGCAGTTACGGGCAGTTCAGGGGCGAATCGGTTAAAGAAAAATAATTTACATTGTGCTTGATTCTCATTATTGTTTACCTTAATTTCTTATTGAGTTATAACTTATATATTGGTGTATCGTGTTAAAGCTTTAAAGCTTTTTGGATAGGCTGATGACCTAAACTGAATGTAAGTTGTCTGTTTTGCAATTGCAGCACTTTATTTCATTTTCTGATGAAGAACAAGAAAAGCTCATAGTGGTAAGCTACATATGTATTATTGACATAATGTCAAACACAAGCAAGAGTGTTTCCCCAGGGCTGAGTTTGAAATGTCTGGGTACCAGGTGAAATACTTTTCAATGGTATAAAATACCATTCTAATGTACAAAAGAATTATAGTAATTAAGAGAAATTCAATGTACAGGTTGTCCAAAACAAAGAGTTGTAACTTGTGCGGGTGAGGACAGGGAGGTGTGTGCTCAGGAAAATAGGGGGCAGGAGTAGTGTGGGAGGCACAAGAGGAAAGTGCAGGTGGTGGGAGTTCTAAATGGGTGAGGGCTGTAGAAATAGGGGAAAATAAAATTGCAACAGTACTTCATATTTTGTTATTGAGAGAAGGCTAAAGGGAAAAAGCCAAGAAAAATGAGGGAGGTGCCGGGAATGCAAGTTGCCAAGTTCATGTACACTATATGGGATGTGGGAAGTTTGGACTCCCCCGTAACCTCCTTCCCCACCCCCCAATTGTTTGTGTTACAAGTGTGCTTTGGAAGGTTATTTTTATTCTCGGTAGAGTAAAATGTCTTTTCTTCAGAAGCTTCAATTTGGCAAAAATGACTCTTTCCATAGCACGCAGTGATTCACTGAGGCTGATCAATTGTTTTGCATTCTGGTTATTTGAAATCTCCCCAACCAATCTTTTTAGTTTCATTGTGCTGGCAGAATAGAGCACTGTACACTGTTAGCCTAATTTATTGTTTGTTTTGAATACTGGTACTTATCATTTAATAATATTGTTCTTGTTGTCTGAATTTCTTATTTTGTGGTTCTTCTTTCTTTATCTTAAGACACTTGCACCTGTTCTGGAGTATGTTCAGCCTTCCCCTGAAGTGTGTGCTTTCTTTGGCAAGGTAACTACACAGTTATCCATCACTTGTAGCAGTGCATTACTTGACTTTTAGCAGGGCTGTCACTAAGATTTCAAGTGTCTGCAGGGTAAATGCAACAGTAGGCAGGGAATCAAATAGCTCGGGATTTCTGTGGGTTCTGTTTTTCTTCTATTTTCTTATGAAAGTAGCTGGGGGGGGGGCGGGGGGGACCCCCCGACGGGCCGCCCCTTAATGACCCCCCGTTTTTAGTGTGGTAAACACCCTTTTCCTCCTTTTCTCTGACCCAAGGCCCCACCTGATGGCAGGGGCCCAAAAAAACAGGCGTTTTTTTTTCTTTTTTGGGGAAGAGATTGATGTGTGTTTTGTTTTGTTTGTGTTTTTTTTGTTTTTTTTTTTTAGAGGAGGGGGGGGGGGGGGGGGGGGGGGGGGGGGATCCCCAGCCGTGCCAGCCCTTAATGACAGCCCTGTTTTAGTATGGTCAAATACCTTTTCCTGCATTTCTCTGAACCAAGGCACCAACTGATGGCATGGGCTCACAAAATACAGCGATTTTTTTTTTTTGTATATGAAATTTTCCATCTAAGCTTCAAACTCATTTCATTGTGTGTACTCACTGGAGATGAATGAGGCAAAAATCTATGAAAAATAGTATTGTTGGAATAAACAGAATTGTTTTGTTGATGTAGTGAAGATAGATGTTCAATTCACATTTTATTTTTATTTTCTCTAGCACTGCAAAGGTCAACTTTATAACAATGAAGTACTGGATGTTTTCCTTCCAGCTGTTCACAGAATCCTTAAGCACAATATGGTAAGACTCTTACTTTGACTTTCATACAGATATGCAGCATATGTTGAACAGTGTTTTATTTTGTACTCTTAGACACTATTTTAAAGGCTGAGATTTGAGATGTCCTTTACCAATGAAGTAGAACTTTTGTCCAAGAAACATGTGTCAGAGAACATGTTTTCTGGGTGAGGTTTAAGTGGTTTGAGATGTATAAAGCAACAAGGAGATTTTTCTACTCCTGTCTTTTTGGTTTGCTATCACAGTGCTAACCCAGCACTCAAACATCCATTATCCAGAGACAATGTGAAGCAAACATTACTCTGTATGACCAGGCCCTGCTTGGTCAAAAGTTGGATAGCCTTTCCACCACATTAATTGGCAACCATTAGATATGTGCAAGGGAAACCAACTGCGTTATCCACTAGATAAAGGTTTTCAGAGTGGATAGCTTTATCCATTCTGGTGGCAGGTGGTAGCCCTGGGGACTTATTTATACCCTTGGGCAACTAGGAAATCTTAATTTAGTGTAAAACTTGTAGTATTATTATTCTGAGGACCCTTTGTATTAAATGTTTCAGAGTTTAAGAGTGAGTCCATGGGTGCACCAGGCAGGTGTGCTACATGCCATCTCTCCGATTTCGCTGAAACTTGGCCAGTTTAAAGGGTCTACCCCAAAACTCAAAATGACAAACTGGTTTGTAGTTTGGATCTTTATGGTGGGAGATAGCCCACCCAACTGGTTTAATTATATTTTTTACCGATAAAAGGGCATTAATAACAGGCAAAAGTAGGAAGCTCTCAGGACAACTGTTTTTAACCTTTGACTATGAGGGTTTGTGTAAATGTCGATACGTCTTCAATAAATGCAAGAATATAAGTTTCAGTCAATTTGATTGACAGCTTGTCAATCACCGGCCTTGAATATGGGACCACCTTTTTAGCCATTCAATTATTTGCTGATTTTGAGATCGAATATCTCTCCTTGCCAGAAAGCTATGACAATAATTTTGTTATTCCCTGCTTAACAACCCTTTGGTCTAAAATAAACATAAAAAAAATTTCTGGGCGCTGCCTTTTTTGGGCGTCAGATGCCAATTGAAAACTACACCTAGAATAGGTTTATTTCCATTTCATCTTTCCTATAATTCAAGGATTAACGGCTGCTCAAGCTAATAAACCGACATTTTCTAGCCCATTATACAAGATTAGTAATTGAAGAGTTTAATACATGCTTAAAACGATCTAGATTTGGCGAGAAAATTAAAGATTTCACACTGAGTAGTAATGCATGTCACCAAAATATCGAAGGCAAAATCGTAATTTTTGTGAGCTCGTTTAGATGTTCTCGCAAAATCAGAGATTATTCTTCTTACGAGTTAAACTATATATAAGTCGTCTTATTCAAGTGTTTACTGTCTATATTGTCTTTATTGTGAGAAAACCAGGCTGTTCTTAATTTCCTAGGGTAGATTGCAAGGCCACATGGCGCGCGGTTGTTGACAAACTTTGAGTCACGCCAGTACACACCAGTCATAAAGCAATGTCAACTCGCACATCTAAAAACAACATAATGATGAGAAATTCTTCCTTCTAGCGATAAAGAAATTAAGCTCTTAAAAAATTATTTAACTTCTGGTTACAAACTCGGAAAAAGAAGAGTATTAGAAGGAACAATGGTGTTATTTTCGCTTACCGCCATCGGGTCGCCGTCGATCTACGCCGAACTAATGTATGCTGCGTGACCAGACAATATTTGTTTCAAATCCTCTTCTTTGCCTCCAAGGAAGGCTTTCAGAATGGCCTTCTTATCTCCATGACTTATTTGTTTCCTCCTATCTGCATTTTTTTTAAATACAAGTTTTTCAGAGTTCTATCACTCTCGATCAACATTTATACGCCCAAGTATTACGTGACAAAAAAAGAGCCTGCAATGTTTTGTTCAGCGAATTTCCCGCGCCTACCTCGGAAATTTCATAGTAATTCTAAACAATTTTCGGTTGCCCAGACAGGAAGAGACAATAAATAAAAATAAACAAAACAAAACGCAACAAAAAATAAATATTTACGTTTTTGCTTTCGTCTCCCAAAAAGCCAAAACTGAAAGAAAAATGTCGTGACCTTTTTTTTACTAAATATTCCGTGTTTACTTCATGTTCCCGATGCTGTGTTTATTCGAGGGCGGCATTTATTTTGAAACTCTTCTTATCAAGGTTGACAACAACGCTTAATCATTTGAAAAATTTTATGTAAAACATGCAGGTATTCTTTTTCTTGCTGGGAAGTAACACACACAGTCATTTTTCCTGGTTTGTAAAAGAAACTGAAATACAATCCTCGAATAACCGCGACGTTCACTGATTGGGTACTATCGGCCTTTATTCCAGAGCATTGTTTGTTCGAGTTACCGTGTGGCATAAAAGTTTTGCGGTACGTGTTTGCAATCGAATGCCACAGAAAAGTAATCTGTCTTGCTGGTTTTAAATGGGGTATACACACAGTGGAATTGTTGACGAATGTTTTTCCATTGCATGTATTCAATAAAAAAGAAAATATTATCTTTGATTTGCCCGGGACTTTTTAAAAAAAAATAGCAAAAGTTAATTGTCAGCAAGAAAACCTGTCCAAATTGCAAAAATTAGTTCCCTCAAAACACCAACAAAAAAATCGCTAATTCGCAAAACTAAACTTTCGTGCCACGAGGTAAGAAGGTTATTGCACTCCTACCAATTTTTTTAAAAAAAATTAAAGTTCAAGGTCCCTCCTTATCTGCTGCCTTGTCCGGACAGCCTCGGCTTCTACAACAAGATCATCGGCATCAGCCTCTTCATCCTCATTCATTAAGGAAGAGTGGGTTCTCTGTAATCGACCAGCCTTATTGAGGGCGGAGAGTCGGCTAAAGTATCGAGCAATCTGTTGTTCTGTCAACCAGTCGGTCTTTGTGAACATCTTCTGCCCGTTCTCGTCTCTCAAAGACTTCATTCTGGAGGCGACAAAGGAGGCGTTTGCCTTCTTTTCTGTTTCCTCTCCGGCCCAAAACACGTCTACCAGATAGCTCTTCGCTTTCTCGGAAAAGGCTACCGGTTTTCGATTTTTCTGAATAGCCCATCCTAGCTCCACGACTTCGCCAGGCATTGCTTGGTCACTGGAGTCGAAGGTAGCTGAATTACCCCAAACATAGCCACCACCCAGGGAATGGCATGCCTCCGCCCATTTTCGCCTGATCTCGTCATAGGTGGACTCCTTTACCAGTCTCACCATGTGCGTACCAACGTCCAGGTGCCTTTGGAGCGACGCAAAAGACTGGAAGGTCTTGATACACCCTTCCTCTTGACAATGAAACATAACCTTCTCTCCTACCTGGTCTGCCTGTGCGGATTCAGGAGGTTCTTGATGTGACCCAGGCAAAGACGAAGATCTTGCAGGCATAGCGCGTTGCTGGCGATAGGTACCCACCTCTACATGTGGTCTGCCAAAAGGATGAATTATGACGAGCTTTGTAGGACCTTGCGGAGTACCAAACCGTGCAAGCTGAGCTGCACTATAAAACTTTCCAGGACCCACGTTATAGGCTCGCCACACCCTTATGCCTCCATTCTCGTAAGAGAAGTTATGTAGCGACTGTATCCCAGCCATATTATGCTTGCTCATCGTCTGCGCAGATGGTTGAACTAGACACACAGCCGCATAGCAGCCCTTGATGCCTCCATAAGACTCAATGGCGGTTTTCATGTCATTGGCCGACTTGACATCATTTCCTTCATTAAGAAAGCGTCGAATGTGGCTTTTAATTGCAGCAGTGCGACGATCGCAGATATCTTTACCAGCCTGCGGCTCACTGAAGTCGTATCTTGCAATCGTGACTCCGGTACGATCACCAATACTGGGGAGCGACAGAAGAAGGTAGGCACAGTGGTAACAGCCGGCGTTGTCGGACCTAAGATATACCTGGTTGAGGTTTGGCTTCAGTGCTTTCAGTGTTTCTAACGTATTTTCTATAATGGAGGCCACTGCAAACCAGTTCTGAATGCACTCATCAAACAGATGGACGTAGGTGCGCGTCTGAAGAGTAAAAGAAAATCAATTAATCTCAAACAAACAAAATATTAAATTCAGTAACACTGGGGCTTGTATAGCAGCAGTTATCTTTGTAAAGAAATTGCATTAAATTGTGTGGATAAAAACTGAGGGTTCCCAATGAAATTACTATTCCACATCGTAATTACTACGTCCTACAGCTGTGGCCGGAACCGAAGATGGGTCTTTCACAATACAAAACAATCTCTTCTTTTCCAAACGTTTTGTTTGTTTTAATCAGCTGTTATACCTCAGAAAGACAGATAAATATTTTTTAGCATCTGGTCTTATTTCCGATATATCTTTTAAGGAAAATAAAGTATAGTTTAAATCGATTGTAACATTTATATAAATGGTACCTCAATTTCTTCGTTTTCATCTTTGGTAATGGCAACGGTTATGTGCCAAGGTAGTCCCTTTTTCCAAAATCAAACACGCTGAGTCTCTCGGTAGCTTGTTGGTAAAAACTTCATGGCCCAGTCCATGATCAGCAATGCTTCAGTTTCGGTAAGGGCATCAACCACGGCAGTCTTGGCTGCATCTTGATGCACAGATCTTATGACATGTGACTTCCACATATCGAGTTTTGGGATTGCCGCCTCAAGATCATGCTGAAGTTCCTCTCGCTTTTCATCGTTGCTTGAGAAAATTAAGAAAAGGGAGATAACAGTCACAAATAAAGACAAATATTTAGATTGGAGAAAATTCTAACATTTTGTTCTGGAGGTCAGTAAGGTAGTACCTTAATTGAAGCTCAGACACTGCGACTTGAATATCTAAAACAGCATTCCTTAAGTCGCTGCAACGGTCACAGTTAATGTTGTGTTGGTGTGAACATGTCCCGCGGTACTCAGCTTCATTGCTGCTAAGTGCATACATGCTGCAGTGGTCTACACAGGGAGTCTCAGTAGCGATGTGCAGCTTGTAGTCTGTTGACACATATCGTTTTCCAGCTTTGAGACGGGACAAAACTCCCTTTGCCTCTTCATCTTGAAAACCTACATGGATAAAATTCCATTATCTAAAACCCTTGACGTACCAAAGATACCAGCATGTACAAAAGGGAAACTCGATTAGGAAATGCAGCTCGTTTATTGTACCTTTAATTTCTTTTTCTTAGCCCAGTTTCCAGGCTGTAACTATTTCACAGGTGCACTCAGGAAAGAAATGCTCAGTGGTTTGGAAGAAAAGTGTATACTAGAAAATTAACCTTAAAACATAAAAAGGGTTCCTGCAATTGACGACTTACTCATTTTTTTTTTGTTTCCCTTTCCTCTGAACTTTCTCATACGCCCCTCTCAAAAAAGCTCACTTCAAATGAGTGCGCCCACCCACCAAGCACAAAAACACCAACACGTTGCGTCCCATATTGAAGGAAATAAGGCAAAAGGCTAGACTTAACCTAATTTTCCGTCTTACCGTTTTTCTGTAGTATGCTAGTTACTACTTCAAGAGATGAAATTGCAGTTACATCGTCCGTTTGCATGCTGTCCAAACCCACCAAGGACTTCTTCTGAGAAGCAGAGCACACCTGAAGTATAAAACTATATTGTAGTCAATTATGTACTGCTTAAATAAGAGGGTAAAAATCCTCTTGTCATACCAAGCAAAATCTGCAGCTTGTGCTGACATTCTCCACTCACACATACACACACACTTTCCCACACACTAAGCTTAAGACAGTACGGAATAACTTGCGTGCATTAAAACCAAAATTGTCGTCTAACACATGGCCTTATATCCATCTATACCTTAAGGATATTGAAAAGTGTTGACCTTCCAAGGGGTGTGAAGCCGGATTCTGTACAATAGGCTTGATACAGCTGGATGAGACGGGACGAAATGACTGTTCTCACCACGTTTGGTATGTCAATTTTCTCTCCGCTTGACAGCTTTAGAGTTTTCGTTCCATATGCAACGTCTTGAAGAAATGAAGGACTGGATACAAAATCTACGAAATGGTCGACTTTAGTGGGATCCAGCCTTGTTCTGGTAATGGTTGGCGGCTCTATAGGCTCTCCAGGCTTGGTCTGAAAAGCATGTTTTCTGGCCTCATCAATCCTAAACTTTGTCAGTCCTGGCACAAGCTGCAGCAGTTCTGTCTTGCTGTAATCACCAGCAAAGAGGGAGAGAATCTGTTGTTGGGTGTTCCAGGATCTAGCTTCATTATACAGCGTTACTAGTCTAGAGACCAGGTTGTCTTCCTCGGCAGCACCAGATACAGTACGCCCGCTTTGGTTCCTTGCAATCACCTGTTGAAGGAGCCATGATGAATTACCCGGTGCAATAGCGTCCAACACGGAATCAACAATTTGCTCTGCTTTTTTGCCATAATAGCGCCGCGTCGATGACGACATAGTCACAACATCAGACCTGCATTGCGACCTGACTGGACTGATTCGGCCATCAGTTGACTTAAGGAGATAACTGTTGAGGTGCTGCAACTGATGCTCAACTTGGGGTGTTGGTTGCCACTCTCTTGACGTCTCTTCCTCTACCAACGAGCCTTGGGAGGACGATGAGAAGATATCTGAATTCGGATCGCTTTGCTATAATAAAAGGAACAGTTTTTTTAGCGAGGTAGGAACCTATGCATCGAAAGTGCTCCTAAATAATTAGAAATACATGCCATTCGATGTCAGAATTGCTTCTGCCTCTTCCATAGGCTTTACAAGGCTAAGTGCAGTTATGCGGAGCGCGGACGTTAACTGCAGGTTGCTAGGAGACGAGCATGAAGTACGAGTTGGGGGGGTGACGAGAACGAGTACAGGGTAGGGAACGGGAAATAATGTTACCCCTTTCGTCGCCCACCATTGCCGTAATAATTTACTACAATATCCACAAAATATGCAACCGCGAGTGAGTGGAACGACGCGGTTATAATTACTCTTTTACATGAACATATAAACCACGCAGTCGAATTACGTAAAAAATTAAGTAGAACAAAATATGATAACCTCATTATTAAATATATTATGAGTTCTTTTTTGGAGTTTTAAAATTTATTAATTCAAACATATTTAAGAGGCACATCAATCCTACCTCGCTCAAAATCTCATCTTGAAATCGCACTCGCAAACGTGGTAACACAAATTCCTTGGTACTGATGAGTAAGCTATTGGCGCCTGCGATGACACGAATTTCATTTTCACACACTTTTAAAAGTCTTATAGCAGAATTTTCAAAATGGATAGTAAATTAACAGCATATAGGTAAAAAAAACACAGCTGAAGTAACAATATTAGCTTGGTAGGTTGCTTAGCACCTTCGAAGTTGTCTCGGTCTAACTCGTCCCCAGTCGACTTCGCAAGACACATCATACCCATCAAACTAGCGCGCCTATGCTAGTAGGGAGAGGTTCAATGAGAGACGACTGGGGACGGGTCTGACTAACCCACGTTGCCCAAAGCCTCGTGGGAGGGCCTTCCTTGCCTATCCTCCCCTTCCACGCGTGATCTATGCGTTTCGGTTTCACACGGTCCAATTGAGTATGTTTGTCTCTCCGCCTTTCATATCAGTTGCCGTGCGCATAGGAAGTAAGCAAGTCAGTAACAACACCCTATGCAAAATAAAATCTTTTTAATTACCTGCACCGACTGGAACTACAGTGTTCCACTTTTCCTTGATTTCTTTTGCCGTCTTCAGATTGACTCCTCTGTCACCTTTGCCCTTTCGATTGCCGTGAAGAGGATGCTGGCATTTTTTTGATGGTCGGAATCTTACTCCAAGGACTGCGCGATGTTTGGGGCAGATCGTGAAATCGCGGCCGTCATCATCTTCGAACAAACCAACGCGAGCTAAAATAAGCTTTTTCTCGGATCCAACGCACGATTGAGATACATCTACATCTCTAAGATGTTCCTTTATGACATCGGCACACGAATTTAGTGGTATAAGTTGTTGCCGTCCGGGCCATCGCGAAGAGAAATCGCATTCCGTTCCACAGAAGATCGCAAATGAACAGGAAAGCTGAGACATATTGCGACTTTACAACACAAACGCGTGGTTGAAAAGAACGCCCCTTGGACGATTACTCAAATAAATTGCATGGTCTGAAATTTGACAGGCACGTGCTGTTACAATTTTGCTGATTGCGCAATCCGGCAAGGTCATGATTCTGTCTGGTCTCCTCTGGAATTTGAGGTACAAATGTACTATGGCCGGTACAGTCCTGTACAATAAAGCTTAATTTTGTAAAAGAATAGAATTTCTTTAAATGAATTTAAGTAATTTACATTATAGTTTTGTATAGAGTCACAGAATCATACCGATTACAAAATAGTACTTTGCATTGGTTATTCACTAATAAAACAAGATAATTCGGTTATCTTTCAAAAGCAACAACAAGTTTTGCAGGTGAAAATGTGTGGACTTCGCCATCAAAAGATAATAAATTTATAAATGATTTAAGGCAATTTAATTTTTTTTGGTGTGTTTTGTTTTTTAAAATTCATTCTTTCTTCCACTCTAGACAACCGAAAAGTGTTTAGATTCCGGGGTAGGCGCGGGAAATTCGCTGAACTAAACATTGCAGGCTCTTTTTTTGGTTACATAATACTTGGGCGTAATATTGATTGAGAGTGATCGAGTGACAGAGTTTTGAACAACTTGTATTTGCCGAAAAATGCCGATAGGAAGAGACAAATATAGTGATAGAGATAAGTAGGCCAATCGGAAAGCCTTGCTTGAAGGCAAAGAAGTTGATTTTGAACAAATATTGTCTGGTCACGCAGCATACATCGACGGCGGTAAGTGAAAATAACACGATACTTCTTTCTAATA